AACAGCACCAGATGATTCACACTGGAGAAAAACCTTATAAGTGTTCACACTGTGACAAGAGATTCAGTGTGTCAGCAAATCTGAAAACACATGAGAGGATCCACACTGGAGAGAAACCGTTCACATGTGATCAGTGCGGGAAGAATTTTGCACAAAAAGGACAACTTACAGAGCATATGAGGGTTCATACTGGAGAGAAGCCGTTCACATGTGATCAATGTGAAAAGAGTTTCACACAATCATCAACCCTTAAGAAACACATGAACATCCACACCGGAGAGAAACTGTACACATGTGATCAATGCAACAAAACATTTTTGTGGGCTTCAGGCCTGAAGAAACACCTGAGAGTTCATACAAAGGAGATATAGAATAGAAAATCAGCCTTAAAATCCACAAATCATGTAACGTGCAATAAAAAAAGTATTGCATTAAAAATGTTTTATTTTTATAAAGAAAAAAATCAACCAATAAAGAGTGAGTGTATAAAGTAGGCATACCAGTGGGGCATGTTAATATTAATAATAAAAAGTCTATTAATTATGTCATTCATTAAAGAATTGTATAATTATCTTACTTACCATTGTTCTAGGTTTGTGCCAGTTCTGCTCCATTCAGTGCAGCTCTGTACAGGAGTAACTGTACTGATTCTCAGTTCTGAATAGTGTACAGTGCTGCAACAGTATGGATGCGAGTCCTTTAAAACAACCTGTGAAGATAATTGCATTGGGTTACATATTGAATTGATTTCAGCTACAGTTTGAATTACTTTCAGTTGCATTTTAAATTGTTACATTGTAAATTAAACTATATTTAAAATTAATTATGAAGAATTAAGTCTATATGTTACAAACATGCCAATACACTGTAAAGAGTTAAGCAATATTTCAAAGGATGTCCCTACTCTGAACCATTCCTGATCTTAATTGCTTCTGATCTTAATTGCTTTTTTACTGAACAGCTTCATCACGTTTGTGTTAGGGATCCCTGGAAAACTGCTACGTTAAATGTAAACGATCAATTCAAGCTTCAGGAAAATATAACAATGAACCGCCAGAAACGGTCAGACTTAAGGTTTATTACGATACATGGCAATCTAAAAATGGGAACAGTATTTAAAATACTTTATATCAAGTTAAGACGTTCCTATCACAGCCACAGATGCAAACAAACGTGGATTACCGGGAGCTCTGATGTTATTGCTACTATCTCTTAGGAGTTATAAAAACCTGAGGTGGACGGAGTTTAAAGCTAAACTCTAACTTAGCCCTGCTATTTAAGTGCTGATCAAATCGGCGCAGAAGTCATGCAGCGTTATCCAGCCTTATTAGCAAGATTTGCTAGAGGACGATAGAACAATACTCACCCCAAAAGTTGTCGATGTAACTTGAAACGTTTAATGCCCTTCTCTGTGCGATTAAATTCATTTACAGTAATCCGGGAAAGTTCTTGTAAACTGAAAAATCATCTTCTCCTCTTGTCAATTTGAAAACTCTACGTAAGGAACAATGGCTTTCGGCACAGCACCGGATTCACAACACAACGGAAATGCTCCCGACCACTAGGGGGCAGTTGGTCTACAGAAACGGGAAATGGACTCTATACACGGCACGCAGCCTACGTATTTCCGGTGAAATCTCAGGGGGCATAAAAGGTTCATGAATCGATACATTAAAATTACCAGGATATCAAAACATTCAGTAAAAACACGTTGTTCATTTACAAATTGATTACACATATTAAGATCAATCGCTATTTTGTATGCTACCGCTTGAATTTATATTATTCAGTTTCCGGGTCAGAGCGTAGCGTGCGCTGCACATAATAGCGCGGTTTTGTTGTTGCATCATTCCATCGTATTAACAACACTTAAACTGCCTGTAAGTAAAGTTAGATTATTGTTGATTTATGTTGTTATGCATGTATATCAAGGATTACATATGGAAATATTCGTTTTCATAATACGTGATTGTGAAATACGTAGTTCTGTGTATAGTACAAGATCTTTGAACCGCTTAAGCTCATATTAAGCATTTATTTCTCAGTTTATTTATGTTGTGTAATCATTTTGCATAATTATCTCATGTTAGATCAAATTGGACGCAACGCTTTTCATGTAACAGTTTATTTATACGATCTTTGTTTTGTTTTGCAGTTTTACACATTTTACTCAGTAAATCATCTGAACTACGACTTCCTGATGTCAAGTCAGTTTATTGAGTAGAAGTGTTTAGCTTGCTCGATACGAAGCCAGTACAGTAAAAAGGCAAGCTTCTTACAAGAGTTGTATATCACGGAAGCAGAAAGCAACCGCATTGTTGTCCACGGCATAGAGGCTAACACAACAACGGCAGTCATGGAAGATGACAAAAGTCAGTCAGCGCCATCACGACGCTCTGTGTCTTCCAGCAAGTCCACGGTCAGTATAGCAGCAACAGTGGCAAGAGCGAAGGCAGAGGCTGCACAGGCAAGAGCCTTATTTGCGAAAAGAGAAATGGACATTAAAATAGAGAAAGCTCGCCTTGAAGCAACATTGGATGTAATCGAGAAGGAGAGAGAGGCGGAAGCTGCAATGGCGGAAGCGGCAGTCATGGAAGCTGCTGTCGCGGATCTAGAAATGAAAAAGTCACATCATAGTTCATCTATCCACCTTCCACAGCAAAGTCCTATGCAACGTACTGAAGAGTATGTAAAACAACACAGTGAACCTAGTGACACTGTAGCAACCAAAGAGAATTCAAAGCCTGAATTAGCACAAGATATAGAGGATAATAAAGGGAGAAAGCTTTCTTCACCAGTCTATCATGTTCTGTCCTCTTGGAACGCTAGTGAATACAGTGGCAGTGAGAAAGGAGAGCAGTGCAAACCTCCTGTTCCTCAGTCATCACATGGCTTCACACGCCATTCTAAGAGTCCAGCTGCTCCAATGCCCCATTCTGGACGAAACTTAAGTCATCCAACTCATCATTCTGCACATGATGCGGTCACACACGACTTAGCGAAGTTCTTAGCACGAAATCAGCTGGTGACATCAGGGCTTAACAAATTTGACGACCGTCCCGAAAATTATCTTGCTTGGAAATCAACATTTCTCAATGCCATCAAAAACCTCGATCTTTCAGCAGGTGAGGAATTTGATCTATTGATTAGGTGGTTAGGGAGAGAGTCAGCAGATCATGCCCGTCGCATTAAATCTGTAAATGCAAGAAATTTACCTGCTGGTCTGGAATTGATCTGGGAGAGGCTAGATACGACCTACGGGTCTCCAGAAGCTATTGAGAAAGCCCTTTTCACGAAAATAGTGAAATGACTTCTCCAAAGATATCAGCTAAAGACCACCATAAACTCAGAGAACTAGGAGACCTGCTTTTAGAGATAGAAGCAGCTAAGAGTGGGGGTGATCTACCTGGGCTCACGTATCTAGATACGTCCAGAGGTGTTAACCCAATTGTGCAAAAGTTGCCCTTTGGATTACAGGAAAAGTGGATGATGCAGGGTTCGCATTATAAATACACATATGGGGTTCCTTTTCCTCCATTCTCCTTTTTTGTTAAGTTTGTGTGTACAGAAGCAAGAGCACGCAACGATCCGAGCTTCAACCTTTCTTCGCTCACCATAGCCTCTGGTGGAAAAGACAGTTATAGTGAAAGCCACACCCATGTTCAGAAACCTGTCTCAGTCCATAAAATGGATGTGATGACCTCCTCTAATCTGTCTCATGTCAAGAGTTTTCAGAGAGGAGCCGATGAGATCGATAAACAATGTCCATTACATCGTAAGCCCCATCCTCTCAAGAAATGCAGAGGCTTTAGAGAGAAACCACTAGAGGAACGGATGAGGATTCTAAAGGAGCTGTCCGTCTGTTATAGATGCTGCTCATCGAACAAACACGTCGCTAAGAATTGTGATGTATCAATCAAATGCTCTGAGTGCGAGAGTGACAAACACCTGGCTGCTCTCCACCCAGGCCCATCACCATGGCGTTCTGATTCTATACCTCCTTTACAGCACGGCGGGGAGAGTGAAGAGTCCTGTGGTGGTGACGTATCATCAAAATGCACCAAGGTCTGTGGCAAAGGGTTTAGTGAGAAGTCATGCGCTAAAATATGTCTTATAAATGTTTATCCTGCTGGAAGCCCCGACAAAAGCAAACGGATTTACGCCATCATAGATGAGCAGAGCAACAGATTTCTGGCGAGGTCAGAGTTTTTTGACATGTTCAATGTTCAAGGGACCTGTGCTTTATATACATTGAAAACATGTGCTGGAGTCGTTGAAGCATCTGGTAGAAGATCACAAGGGTTCATCATTGAGTCTGCAGATGGTGAGATTAGTTTTTCACTCCCTACTCTTATTGAATGCAATAGTATGCCAGACAACAGAGACGAAATACCAACTGCTGCTGCCGCTCTGCATCATGGTCATTTAAAAGTAATAGCAGACAAGATACCACCCATTGATCCAAATGCTGAAATACTGTTCCTGCTAGGAAGAGACATAATAAGAGCGCATAAAGTTCGCAGACAACTCAACGGTCCTCATGATGCGCCGTATGCCCAAAAATTGGACCTCGGCTGGGTCATTGTGGGAAACGTGTGTCTAGGGAAGTGTCACAAGCCCTCTCCAGTGAACTGCATGAGAACACACATCTTAGAGAATGGCAGACCAAGCTATTTCAGTCCATGCGATAATCACATTGTACTGAAGGAGAAGTTTAATGAGAAAACCCAGTTACAAAAACCATCAGGCTTATCCAGCTGCAGACTTCACTCAGTCTTTCAGCAGACCGAGGATGACAATAAATTTGCACCTTCAATTGAGGACGAAATATTCCTGGACATAATGGAAAAAGAATTCTCCAAGGACTCAAGTAACAGCTGGGTGGCACCACTACCATTTCGTGAGTCAAGGAGACGCTTGCCCAACAACAGAGAGTACGCTGTTAAACGTTTCATGTCTCTACGTCGCAACCTTGATAAACGGCCAAAGATGAGAGAGGATTTTACAGAATTCATGCAGAGAATACTCGACAATAACCATGCAGAGCTAGCACCTCCTTTACAAGATGGCCAGGAGTGCTGGTATCTTCCATCATTTGGTGTGTATCATCCCAAAAAGACAGAGCAAATTCGAGTTGTCTTTGACTCTAGTGCAAAGTTTGATGGGATATCTCTGAACGACGTACTGCTGTCAGGGCCAGACCTTAATAACAGCCTGTTAGGGGTCCTCTTAAGATTTCGAAAAGATCCTGTTGCCATCACAGCCGACATACAGCAGATGTTTCACTGCTTCTTGGTTCGGGAGGACTGCCGTGATTTTTTGCTCTCTATGGCATCGTGATAACGATCTGACTAAGGAGGTCGTGGACTACAGGATGCGAGTTCACGTATTTGGCAACAAACCTTCGCCAGCAGTGGCCATTTA